AGCCCCGCTGGCGGGCACAGCCTGTCCTTTGAAGCTTGGGCCCGCTTCCAGTTTTTAAAGACAAAAAAAAAAAAAGCAACCAAAAAAAAAACCCCCACCCCCCCCCAAAGCTTACAAGCTTTAACGCCAGACGTCATGTAAGTGCCTCAAAAGGGGTTACAGAACTAGACTGATGTTAGTCCTAGTTGCAGCGTTAAAAATCAGTCATTTGTCTGCACTAGTGAAAGGTTTTCTATTATTAAAAATAGTATGTGGTAAGACGTTAAGAATCTGTGGGTTTGTGCTAGTGGGTTCTCGAATAATACAGATTGCTTTGTGGGAGGTGCTGAAGATAAGGTGGGCTATCAGGTGTAGTATTTTGAGAAGCCAGCCAAAGCAAGCCCGTCCGTCTAAATTGCCATGCTCAGTCTGCTTTTGGATGAGTTTCATCTGTTACAGTGTAGAGAGCAAGAATTCCTTAATATTTACTATGCGAGTCAGAAATGTTCAGAATTAAAAGATCACTTTGATTAAGACCCCCTATTGTGTGGATTTCTCCTGTATTCTGATTTGCACCTGTCATGTTCCAGTATGGGTGGAGAATGGTATCACAAATCTCAACTATTGCCATGCTGCACAATATTTTATTGTTCAGGCAAACTTCTCTCATTTGCTTTCAAAATCTTACTGTACAAATGCTGGTACAGATCATTTGTGTTGTAAAGCAACTGCCATCATTTTAATTTGATTATGAGTGTACATTGGGTACTGTCAGCTGACCAAGAGCAGCAGGTGTGGTGGCACCCGTGACCGTGTAACAACGGGAGTTGCATTCACTACTTTCGTGTCAGGTTGATTACAGAGGTTGTCACTTGAGGTGGCAAGCAGATTGAAAAGCAGACAGGCTACCCATTGCCAGTGTAAGTGGAGCAAGAACTACTTCCCAAGGCCGAATATTTGTTCTTCTCACAGTACTGTATAGGGACGATACTGATGATTGACCACCTAAAACACGACAGATTGCAGGTGTAGGGCAGTGGTGCAATACTGCATTCTGATGCTTGTGCATCAGCACCAGTAGCGTGCAGTTCCAGGATGTCAGTGTGGTGTTGGTAGGTGTTCACAGCCAGCAGCTGAGATAATGGGGAAGGAGTCTCATGAGCAACATTGTCTACAGCAGATGTTAAGATTCGATAATAATATCTATCAGTAACTAAAAAATATGGTTCCTTAAGCCTTTTATAAGAACTACTGTTTGGACTAACAAAAGCATTAGTCAGTTAATTGCTAATTGCCACCCCTATGTCAGTTTCTTCTCCTTGTCTCCAGAAGCCCCTCCCTTTTACATAGCACAGCTCCAAAATGCCTTTGTAGCTGCACTCTGTATGTGTGTGCATGGTATTTCCCTTGATCTGCCCTCCCTAGTGAAACACCGTTACCAGCTGTGTGAACTACTGGTCTTAATCAAGAAAAACCTGCGCAGTATCTGGTTGAACTGTGTCATTGATGAAGTCAGTCTAGTAATTGAATGACTGAAAATCTCAGACTACAGTACAATCTCAAATAAGAACTTTAGCTTAAGAACTTGAAAAATGTCACACTGGTGAAAGCACACACACAAGCTTTGGGTAGGTAACTGGCTGGTCAGGCAGTGAGCCCAGCTAACATACTGCACAGGTGGAACTGAATTTCATTGCTTCTTCCTATTTCATGACAACACAGTTCCAGATAACATATTTTCTGTGACCTCCAGCTGTGTGTGGAGGTCACAGAAATCCTTTCCATTATCCAACATCAAATGCATCATTGGGTATCTAGTGGAGTTTCCTATTACTCTGAACTTTTCTTCCACCTTTACCAAAGGAAAGAACAACTACTACCCACGCTCAGTCCAGTGGATTCTTTGTGTGTCTTCTGCTTCCATTTTCTAAATCTCATTTCCTTTCCCAAGGCTGTACCTATTTTTCTTAAAATCTCCTCTAGGTAGTCTTCTTTTCCTCCCAAGTTAAAAGGCTTTCTTTTACCTCCCTCCCCCCTTCTACTTTTACATTTGGAGAAATAATACAGTATGTGAATGCTTTCATTTTTCCCTCCTTCAAGGAGAGGGGCAAACAAGACCACAGAAAACACAGAATCAGTTCCGTTACTGCTGCATTCCCACTTTAAGGAATGTTATTTGCTGTTGCTGTAGTTAACTCATTTTTCATGTAACTCCTCACCCAGTACTCGCATAGTCCAAGATAGGCACTGGTAGATCAAACGCGCAGAATTAAGTGTTTAATTATTTGACAAGTTAGTGTCAGCTGCCCAGAATTTCTATCGGTAACCCTCTGCTGTTGAGGATTGAGAATAATGGAAATTATGTCCTTTAAACATTTGATACCTAAAATATTCAATACTACTAGTAAAAGCAAGCATGGGGTATTGATAATACCCATTCAGCTATTCAAGAACAGAAAAGAGAACTTGGCTATATTAATTCTTATACTATTCTATAACTCTTCCGTAATGATCACCATGTTAATCCTCATCACAGTCCTGCATGTGTTACCACTGGGAAAATAATTTTGTATCTAGTAAACAACTACATGTAACAAATATTGCAGAATCTGTATTTCTAGTTGAGATGACTGCATTCTAAAATGATCAACTTTCAACAAAACCTGAAATAACACAAGATGTGAATTTTTTCTTTAATCAATTATCTTAGTACAACGATTGCCAAACTTTTTTGGTGTAGAAACCAGGACCATGAAGCCTCACATAATTGTGGGTAAGATGAGAAAGGAGAGTCGTGGTTATTTGCATATTTCTCTTCAAATATTTCACAGTCCTACAGCTGCACTACAATATAATACTGAATTCAGTTTTAAACAGTGGTGTATCAGATTTGTACCACGCAATAAGGATAATGTGAATTATCCTTTTCAAGTGATTGGCAGACTGTTAGGCGTTGCATCAAAATGACTGACATACTTGTCTGTGGAACATCACTAACATGATCTCCAACAAGTGGGAAACTGTTGAGGTCCATGTTCTGCTCATGAGACAGACATCAAGATTTCCATGTACAGATGGAATGAACAGGGGGAAAAAAGTGGGACAAGGCAACAAACTCTCATGTCCAGCTTTACCAGTGGGAGGAGTCTGGCATTTTAGGGCTTTGTTTTTGCATACTGGGAATTTTCAAACTTGGCAGGTCTAAAACTATGTTTCTGCTCAAGACAATTATGCAATCACATCAGTTTCACAGTTAAAATTGTAGTTTATGATAGTTCCATAACACATGCAAAATCCTCATTTATATTCAACATACACTTTAAAAACAGTTGTCTGCTTTCATACTAGGTTAGAATAAGGTAATCCTGTATGAACTACAATACAGCTTTGTTTTTAATTGAGCAAACAGCTTAGTTACAGACTGAGTCTGTCTTTGCATCAAAATGTAATGTGCTGTCTGTCTCACTTTATGTCTCTAGAGAAGTGTCACATGCCTGGCGTGCTACAAGGCATGTGGCTGTTAAAAACACTGGAGTGACCTTTCACAAGAGCTTTCAGCAAGTTTAAATTACAGATAATATTTCAATCCGTGTACTATTTTCTTATGCACAGCGTTCTATACCGCTTGTATACTACTGGGTGACTGCTTCACTAATGACTTGTATTTATTTATCAAATTTACTTTTCCGTTTGTATGCAATTCAATGATTTAATTTTGTAAAATTTAGTATAAAAAACCTTGCTCTCCCTTCTACATTACAAGTGATATACATATATATTTTTCTCTCAGAACTACCAACAGTAACACTACTTGTTTAACAGTAGTACCTCAAGGAACTTCAAAGAGCCTGTTGAAATAAAGGTGGGGCATGAAGAGACTATGTGAGATAATCATGATGCAGGGAAATCTGTGGATACAAAATTTGACTTAGAGGAGGGAAGTACTGTTAATCAGAATATCAAAACAAACTAAATATAGAATAAAACATATACATATAGAATAAAATATAAACAATACAATTAAGCTGCATCTATCACATAATTGTATTAAGAATGTAAGTTACACAGCAGATGTTAGAAGAGGCAGACACAATATGGTTTCAGGTGACTGACATTCACATTTCCTAATTTACATTGAAATGTTCATAGTGTACATACATTTGCTAAATTTTACAAGTGTATGTATCAAGTGTCAATGTGCAGTCAGTTTTTAAATGAGTAGATTAGTTCTTAAAAGTAGCTGGTGCACAGCAGTAAGGTGAAAGAAGGCTCTGACACTTAGCCACGTATTAAACTGTTCTCATATATTCTGTCTTCCTCCAGCTGCATACCTTGGCTGTATTGAATACATTTGTACAGGAAGTGTTTTCTTGTTGCTGTTCATTCTTTTAGTAGAGTACTACTGGTATTTGGGGGGGTGTAATATGATTATAAGATAATTTTCACATTTGCCGGACTTGTAATTTAGTCAGTTTTGTTGATTCTTCAAAGAACCTTAGAAAAACTTGAATTTTCAATGACAGATCAAAAGATGCAGCTTTGATCTCTCAGTGATCACAAATGCACTCTCTCAGTCACTTCACAGTTTACAGAACTACTTTTTTTATAACCTCGAATTATGATTATGCCTTGCAGTAGTTAAAACCATGGTGTTAGATATTCTAATTGCTGTTGCTTGCTTCATTTTTTTAAGAAGTACTAGAACATACATAATTTTACTGATATTAAAGTTACTTTATTATTTTCAGACAGTTCATCTTGTATTACAAAAATCCTTATAGGTCAGCTCGAACTCCAAACCCTGGTCCTTTGGGTGGTTCGGTCAGAGAAGTAAGGCCACCAGCTGGCTCACAAGAAAAACGTCCACTCCTGAAAAATGAAAGCAGTTTTACTCATTGCTGGTATTGTTATAACCTCAGATACTGTTTAATCACTGGATAGAAGACAGTTACAAATCTGACTTAAGGCTGAAGGCACTGTTTTGTTTTTTTCTTTTATTCTTCCTATTCATCCTCAAAAGTGTGTCATGCTACTCTTAAATAAAAAGGATTCCAAATTCAGGTAGTGACAAACAGTTTCAGAACTGAAATGCAAGAGAGGACCACTAGTTTTGTTTTTATTTATTTATAGGTTGACCAAATTGATGTTGATCTCTGTAGTACCAAAAGCAGTATCCAATTGTACCAGTCATATTTTTATTAAAGATGCTTCCCTGTGTTTGGAAACTGTTTTACGATTGTTGTTCTTGTATTCAAAAAAATCATTATAGAAACAATAGGAATATGTGGCACACTCAAGTCAAATTAATTCCTCTGTTCACACAAGCATATGTGTAGTTAGGCCAAGAAAGAATAATGGGAAAGAATATATAAGAAAAGCTCATAAATAATAACCCTTTCGCAAACTTGCAATCTTTCTGGCTTTTATCAGAAATTAAAAAAAAAAACACACCCACACAACAACACAGGTATTTGTTGATTTATTGGATCTAGACCAAAAAAATCCAACAGGTGATAACCATTCCCCTATTAGGTCCTAAGCCAAATCAGAATAGACATTTTCACATTTTATGCTCCTCTAGCCAGTCAGCAAGAACATAAAAAATTCTCTTCTCAGTTCTTTCCAATTCTTTTTGGCTTTGAATATGTAAAAAGCCACTGAATGCATGCCATTCTGTTCAGCAAATTAATTAATGCTTTTTAGCTGAAGGTTATGAACTCAGATCACTGGAACAGGAATTTAGTTTCTGTAAAGGATTAGCCTTCAAATAGTTGGCCATTATTATGCAAATATAGCATACCTTGGGCCAGGTTTGGGAACTTTGCCAGCTTTTAGCTCATCAATAATGTCTTCAATATCTTTAGGTGTCAAATCTTCCTGAGGAAAAAAAAAAAAAAAATAATGATCATTGACAAAAACAGAAAGAGTCAGCAATTATACTAATTGCAGCATTCAAAATTAATCAGACAGTGGCTCTCTTAGGTGTGTTCCTAGCATAGGTAATTTTGATCCTGTCCATCAATACACCTACTGGTTCAAAGAGTTAGGAAAGTTAAAAAGCCTTCTGTTGTTTTAATGTTACATTTTTTATTTCACATATAGTTGCAGAAATTATGTTACAACTAAATGTTGATGTGGGTCATCTATAACATGGGTTTGTGTTTTCAGCTTCCTTGGTATATTAGTGAGCTGCGTCTCTGCTTACCCACAATACCCATGCCATGGCACATACTGCAAAATGGTGTCAGCTGAGACAAAAAAAAATTGTGGGTACACCTCAAGAGAACAGTTCTTAAAAAAATTAATCAGACTGTGGTAACAAAATAAAATACTTTTACATTTTTGTTTTAAAAAAGTTGGATTCAGTCAATATATAAATTCCTTTGGCCTGAGGGCATCCAAGTGAGCCAGAATTCAGAAGTCTAAAAGTTCAAAAATGGTGTTAAACCAGTCCATACTTTCCAACAGACTGCTTTAAAAGTGCTTTTAAAAGCTTATCAAATACCTATTTAAAATTTTCAGATTTATGGGCAGACCACTATCACAAAAATCCATCACTCGACTTGTATAAATCAAGACAGTAACTGAAAGGAAAAATACACAATACACTGTGATGCAGATGAAGCGTTCTAGGAAGATGCCAAGACACTAGAAGATGCTCTAGGTTATAAGTTGTCACTGCCAAGAGGAATTTGAAGTAAATAACCAAAACTTTAGAATCTGAAACAAGTGAAAATACAGGTAACCCAGCAAACTAGTTTAATCTTTTAAAAGGGAGTGTAATACTTACGTAGTAATTGTCATTTATTTGTACCATTGGTGCATTTACACAAGCTCCTAAACATTCCACTTCTATCAGGGTGAAGAGTTTATCAGGTGTTGTTTCCCCAACTTTTATACCTAAACCAATAAAGAATATAAGGTTCAGCAATGGTTACTGAACAAGATTAATAAAGCATGAGTCTAAGTACTCCATAGGTTTCTCATTATTTGTATTTTGGCCTTAAAAACATTTGCATAGTTAAATCCTCTTAAATGAGTCCAAAATGTTTCCATTAAACAAAAGATCCTAACAGACTGTGAAGTGGGTATTCGGATACGTTTTTGAGACCTCATTTACAGGTTTACAGGCATGATTTATCAAAAAATGACCATGAAATGACAGTTCTAAGAAACAGAACAGCTCTACTCAGGAACATTTTTAGTAATCAATACAATAGAATGGAAAAATAGGCAAAATGTAGCTTTCATGTGCCAATATGAAATGCATTAATATACAGTGTTGAGACCAAATACGCAAGTTAACCAAGATCCAAGCACTAACGTTGTTAGCGACAAATTCATAAACACCTTCCAGATTTTTACACAAAGGCTTATTTCTTGAACAACTCTGTACACATACTTAGCTGCCGTGATGCATAATTGGTCTAGTGATACAGATACAGACCTTGCCCAGAGGGCAGGTTAGCCAAAATAACACCTCAGAGGTCTGATCTTGACAAAATTCTGTATGGAAGGAATAATGCTGAAAAGCAGTTTTCCTCCATAATTATTGGGGGGGGGAGCAGAATTAATAAAAGTCTAAGGCCTGGGTAAGAGCTACACAGTTATCCCTAATGCTTTGACTTCTCAAGCTAAGAATTTCAGTTAAAATTCTGCTGTCTTTGCAGAAACAAACCAAGACAAATTTCATCTAAATAGGCCTATTCCAGACAACAGAATATATGAAATGCAAGATAATAAGCCGCTAATCTGCAGCTCTTATCACAGTGGTTCTTAGGAAATGTTAGCCCAGCTTGCTGCTTGATAGAAGGGGAAGAGTTGTTAGTTGCTGATCTTATCCCCTCTTCCCTTCATAACCACCCAACAAGGAGGAAAAAAACCAAACAAACAACCCATACGCAAAACCCATGGGTTCTCCTTACATCTCATATGATGCAGCACTCTGAATTGACCTCATGAAGTTCAACAAGGCCAAGTGCAAGATCCTGGGTCGGGGCAATCCCCAACATGGATACAGGCTGGGCAATGAGTAGATCGAGAGCAACCCTGCAGAGAAGGACCTGGGGGTATCAGTGGATGAAAAACTGAGTATAAGCCAGCAATGTGCACTCGCAGTCCAGAAAGCCAATTGCATCTTAGGCCACATGAAAAGACACATGTCCAGCAGGTGGAGGGAGGTGATTCTGCCCCTGTACTCTGTTCTCATGAGACCCCACCTGGACACCCCGTGTCTAGCTCTGGAGTCCCCAGCGTATGAAGGACACGGGCCTGTTGGAGCAGGTCCAGAGGAGGGCCACGAAGATGATCAGGGGGCTGGAGTGCCTTCCCTCTAAGGACAGGCTGACAGAGTTGGGGTTGTTCAGCTTGGAGAAGAGAAGGCTTTGGGAGACCTTACAGCAGCCATCCAGTACTTAAAGGGGGCCTACAGGAAAGATGGGGAGGGACTCTTTATCAGGAGTGTAGTGATAGGATGAGGGGTAACGGTTTTAACCTGGAAGAGGGTAGATTTAAACTAGATATTAAGAAGAAATTCTTTACTGTGAGGGTGGTAAGACACTGGGACAGGTCACCCAGAAAAGCTGTGGATGCCCCATCCCTGGAGGCGTTCAAGGCCAGGCTGGATGGGGCTTTGAGCAGCCTGGTCTAGCGGAAGCTATTCCTGCCCAAGGCATGGGGGCTGGAACTACATGATCTTTAGTGTTCCTTCCAACCCAAACAATTCTATGATTCTCTCATCTTACTTCAATAAAAAACCCCTTACAAACAACTTTCATATAGCATATACGTTAAAAAAATATCTTATTTTGCATATAAAAAAGTGCCATAGCATTCAGAGTCCTCTTCTACATATGGGATAGGGCTTATTTTCTCAGTCCAAGTGTCATATTACAGTAATGCATTTCCTGGTGAATTGCCTTTAAAACCACCTTAAGACCACTAAATCGCACTCTAGATGATGGCCTTTTCTGCTCTACTGTACTGAAATCTTTAAAAATAAAGAATAAATGCCAGATCTGAAATTTGAAGTATTTTGTGCCTATTCTCCAATGATTTCACTCTTTATTGTCAATACTATCGCTCTATCCCCATCATATGAAAATTTTACTTTGGTATCATTAAACAAAAGTAAAAACAATTACAAAAAGTGTATTACAAATTTGTGTCATACCAAGTTTCTTCTTAATGGCTTCTAAAATACTATCAGAGTCTCGCAGCATGCAAGGTGTGGTAGTGCAGACCTGAATGTGGTATTTCCCAACAGGTTTGCGATTATACATTGTATAGAAGGTTGCTACTTCATACACTCTCATGGGAGGCATTTCTAAAATTTCAGCAACCTGTAACAAGGGGAACACAGACACTACATTGAATTCCCACAGAACATGAGTAAAGGCATTTAACAAACCATTTCAATAAAGTCACCTGTCCTTTGTCTGCAGTAACAAATAAGAGGGAGGGGATGGGTATCAAAGCACAGCTGTATTCAAGTACCAAGAAAAGACACCTGGGTTACTCTGCTCGAGCACAAACTCCACTAAGCCATGGATTAGCACAGCAAGGAGCTCAAGTCAATTCCCTCCAGCATCTAGCATCATACATAAGCTAGATGCAAGGCATCAGCCGTGTTCCAGCATTCACTGTCAGCCCCAACTCATGCTGCAGTTCTGCTTTTTTGCTGTATGAGTGAACTTGTACACATCTGCCCACACCATCCCACCTAAGCCTTTTGCTAAGGGAATACTTACAGGCTGGTACTACGCTCACCTAATTTAGATACAGCAGGTCTGTCTCAGGTTCTTTGACACACCAGAGCTGGCCTTACAAACACCACTGCTACATCTGCAGATTGGCGTCACAGATAATAAATAGGGAGTGAAGCACAATCTCCATGGAGCCAGTTCTCGTATAAGAGTCCCTGACCTCATTAACCTGGAAGCCTGGCAAACTGCTCAAGTTGAGAACTCACTGTTGTCAAAAGCGTAACTGTTTTATGTTCCAGTCTCTATAGCAGGCAAATAACAAACCACGGAAAATATTTGATCACTTAAAAATCTTAAGATCTTTTTAAACATAGTATCAATCCAAAACGTTGAGTAAATAAACAAAAATACTTTTCTCATTCAGTATTAATGGCGATTTGAGGGTTTATGCTACACAGTAAAAACAGTAGCAAAAAAAATGTCTTTCTCTAAATGTGCACTTAAGTCCTTCAGTGATTTCTCTAACACTCGAAATCCTCACTTAGCATATCTTGATTGAATTTAAAACTTTTCACGTTAAAACTGATGATATGCCAGATTGTAACACAAAATATGATAGATTTATTCATATGAATATAAACCTGAATTTTTTTTTTCTTGGTATTTGATTACTGTCAGGCAACCTATCACTTTGAAGCGGTGTACTTGCTTGCTTATTTTGAAACAATTTTAATAAATCATTTGGTAAGTCTTCACTTGCTGTGAGGAGTTATAAAACGCTCTTGAGACACAGTACGCTAATGCTGCTTTCCAGAAGTCTTTACAGGCTGAGAGATTAAGTACAATCTTGGCAATGTGTGTAGTGCCACTAATCTGAGAGGAAAAAAAACCCACGGTCATTATCTTTTGCTTTCCCCAAATTCAGCAGCAAAGAAAACATTTCAAGTTTCTGTTTCTACTTCCAGGATGATTCTGGGAAAAGAGCCTACCAAATTAAGGCTCATGTAATTTCTGTTTTGTTCTGTCTGTAGTTTCTAGCAATGGACTAACCTTTATGTAAACAACAGAGCCCACAGTTCCCTGGGTTAGTTTTCCCTTTTATTTTTTAAAATACAGTCTCACAGGTAATTCCCACAATTCTGTGCCACATGTACACTTTGATACATAAATGCTAATATTCTAATAAGATATTTAAAGAAAACAGTACAATTATGCTTGAAAGATAATTAAGTACTAAATACCTTGTTCATAGCCGATATGGGCAACCATCCATGCTGTCTTTGAGCCAAATCTAGTACTGCCATGACAGCTGCAGACTTGTGTCCCCCTGGGTAGTTGTTTATGATTGCTTCTATTCGCTTTTTAAAGGAAGAGAGGGGGGAAAAAAAAAAAATAAGTACCAATCTAAAGACAAAGTCTGTGTGTGTAACTTTTTTTGGCTGCATACCTTTTGGTTTTCAGGTGTGAACTCAAATGGAGTATCTGGATTATTTTCAGGACTATCTCTGTGCTTCAGGAAAAGAAAACAAAAACATGTAAAAATAGGGTTGTCAGGAAATTATTCAGGATAAATTTACTGTTGTAAAATATCTTCTCATTAGACAGTTGCAGTTGAATTGCTTGAATAAAACCGATATATTCCAGATAAAAATTTCATAGTACTCAAGCACAAATGATAAAATATCTCTGGGGAAGTTGGCAATTATTTCATCACTCTTTAAAATGACAACTTATTCCTGTTATTTCCTATTCAGAAAATTATTTCTTGAGGAATATGGTGTTGTTATCAAAATACATATTTTTAAACACTGTTAATACAGTTTGGTAATTATGTTCAAACACATCACAAGTAGATTAAGAGTCCTCTAGTTAATACCTTAATAAACAGCAAGGGACTAAAACAACAGCCTTTCTTTGTTTTTTCTTTTCCCATGAGACATTAACTATAAAAACTTCAAAATTCATCAAGAAGCTTGTTATATAACAACTAAAATGTATGCACAGTCAAACACATGTTACTAACCCATTTTAACATATTATTTTGATTTGCAATAGATTTCAACATTTTAACTTTAGATGCAATTCTGAATCGGGGTGGAAGAAGAATAATTTTGAATTAATATTTCCAAAATAAGGTATTCTATAATATTATTTTTAAGGTCGTCTTCTAGGGAAACATCAAATTGAAATTAGTTCTTGTTTTCAGAAAATAGAAATTTTGAACTCTTCAAGAAAGTGACATTTTTCTATAATAAAATCTTGATTCTGACGAAAATACTTATCCAGAGGCAAAACTTCCTGCACAAAATTTTCAGTTATCTCTAAGCAGCTCATTGTGGTATCCTTGAAATACTCATAGTTAAGTTTAATTCCAAACTTTATACAGTTTTCAAATTGAGAAAATGTTAAATGAAACGGATAGTTTGAGGAAGAATTCAAGCAATACTTGAGGCATGATGTTAAAAGTAATCCACAACCAGCTAATAATAAAAGCTTTAAAAGTATATTTAGGAAAAAGAAACCCACTCCATTGACTTTCACTTAATAATAACTTTCTCAAGTAACCTAGGGTGATTTTGCAGTTTCCATACTGCATTATTAAGCAGTGAAGGACTTAATCTTACCACTCCAAGATACCTACATACTGGAAGATTGTCATCAGTGCAGAACTTAAAATACGTGTGGTCCATAGCTATTTCTGGATTTAGAAATTCTAACATGGAAATATTGAAAGGCCAAATACTTAATTTCAATTACATCTGTTGGTCTAGCAAGAGATTCCTTTTGCTTATCCTGTACATATCCTGGAGCAGACAATACTACTGGCACCATCAGTTTGAGAGCACATACCCCTACCGCATTTCCAAGTCAAATATAAAAGTACAGTCAATATGTACTTCTTCACCAAGGATGACTTTCTCCTAATAACAGAAATTACAGAAAGATAAAATATTTGTGTTCAAAGGGCCTTGGTTATTAAGTATGAATTTATTGCTTATTGTATGGTCTACAAGATAACATAAAACAGCTTTTAGGGACACAATTGCCACTATTTTAGACCGGCCCTTCCAGATAAAGGATTTGACTCCTCATATGTAGTACTGGTGAGGGTTTTCTGCCAATTTTAATGAAAGTTCTTAAAAAGAGGCTGATGGAGGAAAAACTGACAAGAAATACTGTGCAACTTTAGGGTTTTTTTTCCCCTTACAGACCTGTTCTGTCTTAGCTGCACAGATCAAATTCATGATTCATGATATGTATTTCCAGAACTAAACTTTTCCTTCTCAAATCTGCATGCCTGTTTTATTTCAGGTTGCTATTTTGCCTTCCACAGCTATTTGATAGTTACAATTGTAGTTTATTTCCATTGCTTTTGCAAATAAGTACATTTAATTAAAATCTCCCTCTTTGTCTAGAACAGCTGTTCGTTTCAGTGTACCATCTCTAGATGGATATCCTTAGATACCCTACATGTGAAGAAGAATAATAAAGATTTTCTATCTGAAGCTAGTTTTCCACACAGTCAATTCTGTGCAGCAAGACTCCACGATACATTGTAAAGGCTACAGCACAGGTGAACACCATGTAAGATCATGTCATCTTTTTTGTTTTCCATTTTCCTAAATGGGCTTCATCTAATTCTGTGCTGTGGAGAGTTTGATAGTTTTCATCAAGAGCTTACAGAGTTCTAGGCCTACTGAGTTCTTAGGAATTTGCCAATCACATCTTCCCTAGTATTCCATTTGTCTGACAATGCACCAGTTATCTGAAACTTAAATAAGCTGATTTGCTCCTAAATTATATTGGTGCATTTCTGCCTTTTTTTAGGATACAGATGATGCAGAAGAAGATCAGAATTAAGGACACAGCGTTGGAAGGAATACTATGTTAAATCACAGAGTGGTTGAGGTTGGAAGGGACCCCTGGAGGTCACCTGGGCCAAACTCCATTGCTCAAGCAGAGCCACCCAGAGTTGGTTGCCCAGGACCATGTCCAGATGGCTTCTTCTGAATATCTCCAAGGTGGGAGGCTCCACGTCTCTGGGCAGGCTGTGCATGGTCACCCTCACAGTGAAAAAGTGTCCCCTGATGTTGTCTGAGGCCATTCGCTCTGGTCCTGTCACTGGGCACCACTGAAAAGAGCCTGGCTCCATCCTCTTTGCACCCTCCCTTCACGTACTTATAGACATTGATAAGATCCCCCTTCCTCCAACCTTCTCTAACAGTCCCAGCTCTCTCAGCCTTTCCTCATATGAGAGATGCTCATAACAAGAAACAAATATACTATGGCTTTCTCCATACACAAACTAAGTACAAACAATTATGTCTGTACAGACTACAGCAATTTGTTGAAAAGCAAGGTGAGACTCTACCCAGACATTTTTTCTGATTCCCTTCTCATGCCCTGCAATTTCCTTAAGTCTTACACAATATGTTTTCATTCCATGCATAGATTGACTGTATCACATTTGTATTGCAGGATTCAGACTAACCTACTTAAAGGTGTGAACAACTGCACTGTGAAGGCCTACCCAGGCCACACTGTCCCCACAGATGATGGTACTCTCCCGTGGAAGGTACCAAGGCTGCTGAATGTTCATCTGACATTCATTTTGCTACACCAACCTGGGCCATTTTGTTATTCTTTTTTCAGTGATCTAGTCACCTGTCTTCCTTGACACAGAGAATTATTAAAGAATGCCGAAGAATTACAATATAATAACTAGAATAATTTAGCTTTCATGCATACAGCAAAAAAAGTTGGCCTGAAACTTGACCTATGCCCTGTGGTAAACACCAGTCCAAAACACTGTAAACCAAAATGAGAGAACTGTGTGGTATGTAGGAGAAAAGATGTTTAGGGCAACAACCTGTTAAGAGTCCATATCAAATCAGCAATGAAATTTATTACTTTTCCTCCAAAGGGAAAGTACCCTGCATTGACTATTCCAGCAGAACTCAAGATCTAAACCTCTCTTAATTTAAGAATGGTGGAAGTACTCTCAGATCCAAGTATCTCACTGATCATCTTCACAAGTAACTAAAACTATAATATAGCAATTATCTAACCTTCTGTACTAACCTCCTGTGCAGCCCTATGACAAAGCCCACATCAAGGCGGTTAATGTGTTAAGGAAACTCCAGTCCATGTTTTGAAAACTACAAAGTAAAAGATTAAAGTTTTAGCTTGCTAAGGAGGCTACAGACAAGTAAAAGTCAAAGATAGAGAAGACATGCTTAAAGACAGAAAGGTAACTATTGTAAATAAAAGTATCTTTGAAATGAGGTCTTCCCTAGCCATCAGAAATATGATAGATTTGGAGCAGCTCTCTTAGGTTATTACAGGCAAACAATCTACCTACTTTTAAACTTGGTATACTCTTTCTGGAATTGAGATCTAGCTGCCTGTGATGGCACCAGACTGAGTTTAATGATTAAGAAAGTCCCTTCTTGGCTATTTCAGAATAAAAAGGAGTTTCAGTAGAAGCTTTGTTATTTCTGTATGTTTCTGATAACATGCAAGGAAAAAACTTGCATGAAAAAAGTTTGCAAAGGGGTAAAAGGGCATGCAAATCAGCACTGTATTTTAATACTAGCTTTTAAGACAACTAGGTTCCCTGCCCGTCTGTTCCTTGCTGTTACAAAACAAGCATACTGAATGCATCTCCCTTCCTCACACAGATATCATATATGGAAAGTGCAACAAGAAGCACCAACATGCTTTGCAAAATAAAATAAAAAAAAAAAGACACTGCTGCGTAAACTGACATATAAGGAGGACCACCACAACAGGTTAGAGTTACTCCCAGGCAAGCCTACTATTCCTCCACAAGCAGGTTTAAACAACCATCAACACTTCATCTGCTTGTAATATTCCAGAAAACTAAGGCTTTTTTTTAACGTTGGGTTTTTTCCCCCCCTACAGAAATCGGGGGTGGGGGGGAATAGTCCCCTTCTCTGATTGCATACAAACACCTAGTGTTGATTAAAATAATGCCTTCAGCTCAACTCAGCAGGAGTTCCCCTTGAAATGTGCTATGTTAAGTAACTTCTGAAATTTGCTGTCAAGGATTTTAGTTGCAGTTAGAGCAAACAATCAGACATGCACACAATGACATCCAACTATCTTCTTCCCATAGCCTTTTACTTCATAGAACAACAAATATTACCTATTAAAAAAAACAAACAAACCAACCCCCCCCCCCCTAAAACAAACCCCCACACAAACAATTTCCTATGCTCTTCTAGCAAAAATTCTGTTGTGGAATAAGAATGAAAGGAGTGAATGATGCTATTAAATAAAACAGCTGGATATCACAAGTAGCTAACTAAACCACACAACTTTACTTTCCTACCTCCCTTTCTCTATTTTAAGGCTCCTCCCTCCAGCAAATAGTTACACAGTTACATAAAACTTGAAAAATGCCTGCAGAATTTACAAAGCTGTCTAGCTTCATATGCTAGGCACCAACATCCATTAGGGTGCCAAAGACACCTTTTATCTGCCTTCACCAATCTCAAACTACACTTGAAGTTTCCTAAGTTGTCAGCCTACGCTGTTTCTTCTATTCCTTGAACACCAGCTCTCACTCCATAAATCATCAGTGACTGCTCAGGTTTCTGGAAAAGTATACAAAGCATGTACTGTAATCCCATTAACTTCATCTTATGAGAAAAGCTGTAGAGACAGCTGCAGAAAGGCAACAACAACAACAAAAATCTGTTAAAAAATTCTGAGCACCTGCTTTCAACAAAATGGTCAATTCTCTAGTAAAGTGTTGATTTCCACCAGATGTTGTAGAGACGCCAAGTTGTTCAGCTGTTGAACTGCAGACTAGATAAAGCTCTGGACAGAGCAGAATGGGACAGGATACACCTCTCAGATGCTTCAGGTTCTCTTTGGAGGTAGGCAGGCAGCATGCGTGCTTCACACATTTAAATTTGAGGACTTTTTTTTTTTTGCAATCACCATTACTATTTATACATATTATGATAATGTCCGGTGGTCTCAATTATGAATCATTATGCAACATGCTATATGACATACAATACGAACAAGAACTGCACTTTTCAACTGCTTGTGAACAGGGCTAGACCTGGACCTAAAGGTAGTTCTGCTGCAAATTTTAGAAATCAAGAAATTGGGTCTGCAAAAAGTTTTATGAGCTTCAATTACAAACTCAATTAACTTCAGTTAAAACAGGAAACAAAAACTGTTTTAAGATGAAACGAGTATAAACAAAGTCTTATCTGTAATCACACACAAATGCTGCTAATATCACCGTTGCTATTAATAAACAGGAGTTTTCACTATATAGTTTTAAGAAATACAAGGCCAAAAACTAAAATAAAACCTTTTGATACTCCCATCACAACTCTAATAAAAAGTTCTGCTGAAAAAATGCTTCTTTGTAAATTCCAGCAGGCTTCTATAGCAAGTTCTGCCCATCAGAAGCTTTTAGGCAGATTAAAAAAGTATATGCCAAACTCTTCTTATACATCCCCCTTCCACTAAGGTACAAAATTACTTACCACAAATAAGGCTCCTCCACTGGCATTGCGCACTGCTGTTCTATGTAAGTATCGGATTTGTCTTATCTAAAAAAAAAAAGTAGATAGTATTAACAGTTAATAATTTCCATAGTGCTAGAGACTGCTTTCAGAACCAGCTTGATTTCTATTCTAATTGTAAGCCATTAATTTTACTGTCATCAATAACAATTTAAATTAAGTCAAGAAAATAATATTAAGGGCTCTCCTATGCTATTAGGAAATCAAATCTCTTAACTCACCTTGACCATTTCAGACAATGTAGAAATTAAAGGATTTAACCGCAAACAGGTAATACTCTGCCACAGCTTAATTTAAATGCCTTGAATACTAATTATCACTCATTTCATGAAGAATTTTGGAATTTGTTACTTTATATCATGTCCTTTAAAAAACTTGCAGAAACTACTATTATTGAGGTTCTTCTCTAGTAAGCATTTACATGCTTCTTCAGCTTTTATCTAACTGAACAGTGAGATTGGGCATAAAAGAACAAAGTTAAGAACACGAAATATCAACAGGACACAAGAGCCATATACAAGTTGTGTTCAGCTATTCTCTGTAGTGTCTGTCTGGATCTGTCATGCCAAAACAGATCAGAACTGCTAGATTCTGGCCAGTATTACTAAAATCATCTGATTATATTATCTTGTCATAAGCAAACATTCTATAAAAAATTAAGTTTATATAATTTTAATATTAATTTTTACATTGAACTCTAGACCAGTTTTGAGAATTCTTGAAGTAACAGAAATATAACATATTAAAAAAATAAAATGGCCCCCTTAACTACTTAATTTCTGTTACTGTATAAAATTTGTGGGATTTCAAGTGGATCAGCATCAAACTAGCAAAAGTACAGGCATAAGGTCAGGGAACTACACTCCCTGCTCTTCTGTAAGAGCAACCTAATCAGCTCCATCTTTTCAGCAGCAGATCATGTAGTTTCACCTGCAGTGTACTTTCACACGATGCCTGCAGTCTTTCCCTGTCATATGATCAGTCCTTCCAGGAAGCACTGGATTTACTATGCAGTTATGTGCATTACATAGTATGCACCCATTTCCTCTTTGCTCTCCACTTCCAGCTCATCTGAAAGCAGCAGCCAGGAAAGCAATTCATCTGCCATTCTGTGTCATAAGCCAAAATCAACTCTGGGATACATGGATAACTCTGTGGACTGCAGATCCTTCATGAGTGCCACCTCTTCCAGGAGACTCTCAGCCTATCATCTTTATCAACTGACATGAAGCACATCAAATAAACTGCACTGGCATGCCAATTTGAGTGCTCTCTGTGAACCAGACAACATGAAAATTCAGACAAAAGACTAAAAAGTGTAAATACAGCATGCAAATGCAACTGAAATTCCACAGACAATGGTGAAAGGAGCACATGAATGGGGATTTGATGCTCTGGTATAAATCCTATTAAATGCTAATTAAATATAGCACATATGCAGTTTTATCTCTGAAGGGACCACCACCACATTGTAAGCTTCAGGTTTCTAACTGTAAGAGGCAGTCTCCTACCAAAAGCAGCACTTCAGATGAAAACCCTTTACCAAAAGATAGCATGCTGTTTCCACGAACCAAACCCTGTAAATTTCAGACTTTAAGAAGAAAGAGGACAAGACCCCGGTTTTTTGCACTGCCCTAAAGGACCTCAATTAGTTTCAAGAGTTGACTCAGGATTAAAAAACAAACCAAGGGGCTTCCTTCCCCATGGTTAGCCTTACATATATGGGTAAGTCGGAAACATACTTTTCCACTTGGGACGCTTCCCAATAACCTATAACAAGCACCGAGCAATTACTGCTGGAGCCTTTTTCACTCGATGCAGGCAGTGCTACTCTAGCGCCGCTCAGGTAACTCCGGTAGGCCCCGAGGCCGAGGGAGACACCCGCCACCGACGCCTTTTCCACCACTGTACCGGCCTTTCCTTCCCCGAGGCCCTA